TGGAGGTGATGGAATTCCAGCTGAGCTATTTCAAATCCTAAAAGATGATGCTGTGAAAGTGCTGCACTCAATATGCCAGGAAATTTGGAAAACTCAGCAGTGGCCACAGGACTAGAAAAGGTCAGTTTTCATTCCAATGCCAAAGAAGGGCAATGCCAAAGAATGTTCAAACTACCACACAATTGCACTCACTTCACATGCTAGCAAGGTAATGCTTAAAATCCTTCAAGCCAGCCTTCAACAGTATGTGAACCAAGAACTTCCAGATGTTCAAGCTGTATTTAGAAAAGGCAGAGGAACCAGAGGTCAAATTGCCAACATCCGTTGGATCATCAAAAAAGCAAGAGAGTTCCAGAAAAACATCTACTTCTTCTTTATTGACTACACTAAAGCCTTTGACTGTGTGGATCACAACAAACTCTGGAAAATTCCTCAAGAGATGGGAATACCAGACCTCTTTACCTGCCTCCTGAGAAACCTGTATGCAGGTCAGGAAGCAACAGTTAGAACTGGACATGGAACAACAGACTGTTTCAAAATTGGGAAAGGAGTACATCAAAGCTGTATATTGTCACCTGGCTTGTTTAACTTATATGCAGACTACATCATGCAAGATGCCAGGCTGGATGAAGCTCAAGCTGGAATCAAGATTGCCAGGAGAAATTTCAGTAACCTCAGATATGCAGATGGCACCACCCTTATGGCAGAAAGCAAAGAGGAATTAAAGAGCCTCTTGATGAAAGTGAAAGAGGAGAGTGAAAAGCTGATTTAAAACTCAACATGCAAAAAACTAAGATCATGGCATCTGGTCCCATCACTTCATGGCAAATAGATGGGGAAACAATGGAAACAGTGACAGACTATTGTTTTGGAGTTCCAGAATCACTGTGGACGGTGACTGCAGCCATGTAATTAAAAAATGCTTGCTCCTTGGAAGAAAAGCAATGACAAACCTAGACAGCATTTTAAAAAGCAGAGACATCACTTTGCTGACAAAGGTCCGTATAGTTAAAGCTATGGTTTTTCCAGTAGTCATTGTATGAGTGTGAGTTTAATCAGAAAGAAGGCTGAGTGCTAAAGAATTGTTCCTTTAGAACTGTAGTGCCAGAGAAGACTCTTGAGAGTCCCTTGGACAGCAAGGAGATCCAACCAATCAATCCTAAAGGAAATCAACCCTAAATATTCATTAGAAGGACTGATGCTGAAGCTGAAGCTTCAATACTTTGCTCACCTGATGTGAAGAGCTGACTCTTTGGAAAAGACCCTGATGCTGAGAAAGATTGAGGGCAGGATGAGAAGTGGGCAACAGATGATGGTTGGATGGCATCACCAACCCAATGGACATGAGTTTGAGCAAACTTGGGGAGATAGTGAAGGACAGGGAGGCCTGGCATGCTGCAGTTCATGGAGTCGCAAGGAGTCTGACATGACTAAACAACTGAACAGCAACTTCACAGAACAGATCTCTACTCAAGTTGACTTTCTCTCCTGATCGTTTTGAGAAGCAGCTGCCAACTGTTTAATCTGTCTGTCTCTCTCCTACACACACAGAGTGATGCAGGTAAATTATAAAAATAAAAATGTATTTTCTACCTTATCAGGCTTCCTTGTAATCTGTGCTTTGAGAGGCTTTCTACTATCACATTGATAAAAAGCACAGTAGTCTGTCATCACTGCTATAACCTGTACTTTGTCCTTTTAAGAAACTATGTGAGGGACCTCTCTGGTGGTCCAGTGGTTAAGACTCTGCGCTTTCAATGCAGGGGGCTGGGGTTCGATTCCTGGTTGGGGAACGAAAATCCCACATGCCAAGTGGTGTGGCCAAAAAACAAGAAAGGAAGGAAGAAATTATGTGGAAATAATCCTTTCTTTGCAGTGATGGTTCCTTATCTGGTCCTGAAGTATCATAAAATTCTCAATCTTTCTCAGTTCTCTTATATCCAATCCCAGTTTGGCAAATACAAAAAGAGTGATTTCTTTAGACTGCAAGTGTACCCATGTCAATCTCCTACCTGAAACCTTTCCCCAGCTTAGAATTGCCCTTAAATGGAATTCTCCCATCTTCAACATGGCCTTCATGGGAGATCAGGGCTGCCACTGCTCTGGCCTCATGATTTTACCCCAAATCCTCACCCCACCTCTACCTACTACATGTAGTTTAGCTTCAGTGACTCTGAAGTTACTGACTTCTTCCAAAGTTCCCTGACATTCTGTCACTCACGTTCTTTCCTCTCTACCTGGAGTGCTTTTCTACTTTTCCCTCCACCTTTTATTCTTTGCATGAATTCCACTCTCTAACCCACAGTAAGTCCAACCCAGGTCTGAGTAGAGGTCCTCCAGGTGCCCCCCTAGCATTTGGGATACCGCCAGTACTGGAGCTCAAGGCATGATAAGTAGTCAAAGACAAGGTGAGCGAAGATGATTGAAAAAGGCAATCATTTCTTACATGGGTGCAGGAGCCATTTACTAGGTGTGGTGGCACAAGGCCGATAGTTGAGAAAAAGGAGGAATTAGATAATAGCAAATCAGTTGATCTGGGAAGGTAGGAGGGTGACAAGAGAGAAAAATTCAGTTCCCAATGAGGGATTCAATTGACTTCTCTGCTAAAGAATGTCAGGCTGAGTTGCTAGTGACATGATCATTATTTATGATCCCCCAAATTTAGTAAAACTGTAATGGGAAATTAGATAATACCTGGAGATTTCTATTTATGAGTTTCAGTCATTTACTCCCACCTAAAAGCTAAATCTTGTTCCCTTAAAACACAGATTGTGTAAATTATTGACATGTAAATTTTTGAACTCTGTAATATATGCTGATTCTCTTGGCATATGAAATTAATCATCACCCTATGTAGTATTTTGAGATTTACTGTTGAATTTATGACTACCTTGACACTGTAACAGGTAGTTGAGTTACATAAAAGCCAGTGCTCTTAGAAAAATGTAAAAGCAAAGAATACTGGATTTAAAAATTGTTCTGAACCATTGGATTGACATTTCCCATAGAAATCTGTGGTTTCCAATCAGTAATATTGACATTCAATTATCCATTATGTAAGATAAATTATTCTCTCAGGGAGTGGGGTTTACATATTAAAATATTAACAAAAACTTATGTATCAAAATCAATAATAAAGAAGATTATTTAAAGCTCCATTTTGCCTCTTAAAAGTTTGTAGACATTTTTTGAACTTGACTTATCTGGTCACTAATAATGATTATTGCATATAGAATCAAAGTCTCTAAGGAATCACTTACTTGGAGGACATTCAGACATAAAGAAGGATAAGATAAAAGGAAATGCTGTATCATGCCATCTTAAAAATATTAGAAGAGCAAGAATTCAGTTATGAACTAGTCTTACACAATGGACATAAGATAATAATATGAATTTTATCCAATAAAAATTTTCTTGTAAAACTTGGAGAATAAAGTTTACGTATAGGTTGACCCATACCAGGACTTACAAAGAGTGCATCTGTAAGTATATAATGCTTTTCTCTAGGTTTATATGGTAGAATCACTGATAAGCCCAGTTTCAAGCAATGTTCACTATTAACTCATAGCTTAGCTCTTAGACTTTAGGAACCTCCTTCTCTTCACCTTAAAGTCACAGATTTGTCAAAGTCCTCTAGAATAGTCTCAGGAATTTATGAAATGAATAAACTTGCCTTACTTAAGGTATCCTTAAGAGTTCCCCTGCTCCAGTCCATTCTGGCTGCTGCTGCTAAATCGCTTCAGTCGTGTCCAACTCTGTGCGACCCCATAGACGGCAGCCCACCAGGCTCCCCCGTCCCTGGGATTCTCCAGGCAAGAACACTGGAGTGGGCTGCCATTTCCTTCCCAGGTCCCTGTAGGCCTCTTTGCCATCCCACATTTTCTAGCTCTACTTGGAGGCAGCAAGATCTTAAAACTATAATAGTACTGGAATATTTCAGTTCTCTAATGCTGCCTGAGGCTTGAGGAAATCAGGTGTTTGCAAAATCAAGTTACTTGTCCAGAAATATGCCTCAGTTTATGCTGGCATTAAATTCGCTCCCACTTTTCAGTCAGGGACTTCCACTTACCTTATTAAGTAATCAATCTGTATTCATCATTACAGTGGCCTCTCTTGAATAGTACACTGGAAGAAACTCATCTCCACAGTAGTATTATTGATTTTATGTTTTATAAACAGCCCAAATATTTATTCTCAGGTGTTGTCCATTTGTATTTTAATAATGTGTTTTTTTTTAACCTAAATGTGTGGTTTCCTTAATTAAAATACTATTCCTCATATAGTACAAATATTTTAGTAACATTTGTAAGAAATCCTGTATTTTGCAGTTCCATTTCTTTCCCATTGAAAGATTTGGTTCTCTTTTTCCCACATTCAGGACTGAGAAACATCTTCTAACTGCTTTATAAAATCTCATATTATCAACATTATGTACTTGTCTGATATCACAGTAGTAAAAAACCTACCTGCCAATGCAGACCCAGATTTGATCCGTGGGTTGGGAAGATCCCCTGGAGAAGGGACTGGCAACCCACTCCAGTATTCTTGCCTGGAGAATTCCATGGACAGAGGAGCCTGGTGGGCTACAGTCCATAGGGTAGCAAAGAGTCAGACACGACTGAAGCAACTGAGCATGTGCTTTGAGAAGTGCACATCACCTCTGAAGTACCCTTCCCAATAATTCATAACCTCAATCTATTCATGTGGAAACATCAGGCAAACTTAAATGAAAGTAAAGTTCTGTAGAATAACTGACCAGTGACTTCATGATCTGATAAGTAATTCACATTCCATTAAGCAAGCTGCCAAAAGCACACATTCTGTTAATTTGACAGATTGAAAATATGTGAAAAATACTGATTTAGAGAGATGTTTCATTAAATCAATGAAGTGATTAAAGTTTTACATGCCAGTTTGCCTAAAATAAGAGTGTATCAACAATTTTACAACACGTTTCTATCACTTCTGTCCACAGGCGATTCAGCTAATCTCACCTGCAGAGCTTTCTTTGGGTATAGTGGAGATGTCAGTCCTTTAATTTACTGGATGAAAGGAGAGAAGTTTATTGAAGATCTGGATGAAAATCGAGTTTGGGAAAGTGACATTAGGTAAAGTAATTTTTCTCTTTTAACTTGTACAGTCAAGATTCACATTTGCTGTGTTAGTGAATAGAAAGTGAGCTAAAAAAGAAGGGGGTTAGGGGGTGTTTTACTATCATACTAAAAATGTTACAACATTTAATGGCAAGGAGGAAAAATATCCTTGAGGGAGTGACTATGAAACTGTAAAATCTGAGTGCCATTTGCAAAGAATTTAAGAGAAATAAAAAGGAATTTTCCACTAAGGAATAAACTGAATATGAGATTACTGAAATAGCATCAAATATGGAAAATGTGATATTGTGCCTTTGGTTGATAAGAGCTCTTTTTTTTTTTTTAATTGTTGAGAGGAAATATTGGTTGGCCAAAAAGTTTGTTTGGGTTTTTCTATACCATCGTCTGGACAAACACGAACAAACTTTTTGGCCAACCCAGTGTTAACAGGTTTTTAGGATTCAACATCATGTTTTTTAGGATTCAAACATCATCTCTGTCACTTCCTTTTATATGTTTCTACGTATTTGAGGCATCATGCAGACTATAAAACACTTGATAGTAATAGTAAAGAATACAAAAATGCTTTTATTACCTTTTTTAGTCTGATTTTAAGATCTAAATATTAATATAGTGGAATAATAGCAATAATCATAAAAATACAATTATTTTGAGGGCATAATGCTTCTGCCTCTTCTTTTTTAAAAATAATTAACATATTTGTTTGCTTACTTTTAAATATTGAGGTATTCAGTGACTAAAAGTACACTTATATATACTAATTTTTATTTATAATGTAAATAAGCAAATATACTAATTAATAAATTGTAAGTGAATCAAAATGCAGATCATTTGTAAACATTCTCCAATCTAAAGATCACCTCTTTTGGGTATATTTGAGCATTTTAACCAAATTCTTCTTCTTAAATGGGAGAACTTTTAAAACTTGAGGAAAGGTATAAGAGAAAAAGATTTTCAGTAGAAAATAAAAACCTATAAAACTGTCATAGAGGGTTATTTCTACTGGAATTTTCTTCCTGGCAACAAATACCCAGGAATATAACATTGCAGTCAGGTTCTGAAATGCCCAGATGAGCAATTCTTCAATACATACTAAAATGTTCCTCTGCCATTTTTCATGTTTAAAACTTCACTATTATCTTATACTCATACACTCTGAAATGCTAAGATTATAGGACAATAAACCTCCTAACTTTCCCCCTCTCTCCTTTTGTGGGTGCTCAGGGAATGTTCTAGAAAGGTATTTTTTTCTTTAATTCTTCATGAGGAAGTATTGTGCAAGCATGAGTTACCAAAGGGGTGGGAGAGTAAAGGTGGAAACTTGGTGAGCATAGCAAAGGAGCCCTACTTTGAAGTTTTCCATTTGTTCTGAAAAGATTGTTAAAATCCTTGACAATGAGGTTAGTGAGCATCTACCATGAATTTTAAATGTCAGAATTAAATGCTTCATCAGAACATTTAGTCTATGGTTTTGTAATTTCATATTTCTTTAAAAATAGGAATTGATTTGTACCTTTAAAAAAAAATGCCAGGCTAGAGGTTTCAACTGAAATGTCAAAGTAGCTTAGAAATTTTCTATCCTTCGTTTCTTTAAAATTAGCCTGATAGATAATTAGTCCTCCAGCCTAAGACATTAGAATTTCTTATCCCACCCTTACATCATATTTCTTCTTAAAGGGAAAGCAATTTGTAAACTTTTCTTCAAGGTCTCTCTCACCTCTTTATTATGACAGTGTGATTGTCCTGCTAAGAGAGATAATTAACTGCAACTTCATTAGCATCTACAAAGACAAGCTTCCTTATTAGAAGTGAAGAAGAAAAGGGCATGATATAATTTAATTAAGATAGCATCAATCCATGACTAAATTTGAAGCACAGATGCTGTAGGTTTTTTCATATCAGATTCATCTAAATTTTTTTTTCATGTGTGTGTATGTTTGTGTGGGGGTTTTTTGTTTCATTTTGCTTTATGTTTTAGAATTCTCAAGGAGCATCTTGGGGAGCAGGAAGTTTCCATCTCATTAATTGTGGACTCTGTAGAAGAAGGTGACTTGGGAAATTACTCCTGTTATGTTGAAAATGGAAATGGACGTCGGCATGCCAGCGTTCTCCTTCACAAACGGGGTGAGTGTCACCTTCTAAGTTTGAGTAGTTGACTTAACCTTTAATGAGAGTGAAATAATTGGAAGATAAAAAAAAATTTTTTTTACATAAATTTGTCCCAAATAAAACAATTACATTAGCAGTAAGGCCATCAAAGCAGATAGCACAGTGGCTGGGTGACTAGCTTAGGCACTGGAGTCAAATTTAGATATTCAGATTCCTTTTTCTTCCCCTCCCCCAAGCTGTGCCATTAGGTATGCAGGATCTTAGTTCCCCAACCAGAGATCAAACCTGTGCCCCCTACAATCAAAGTGGGGAATCGTAACCACTGGATCACCAGGGAAGTCCCCCTTTCTCTGTTTAATACCAGCTATATAACCGTGGGAATGATATCTAACTTCCTTAAGCTTCAGTTCCCTGATAATACAGAATGGGAAAAATAATATCAACTCTTAGTGAATTTTACGGATGAAAGAAAACACTAAGTGTGAAGAGCTTGGCACAGAGCCTATGCACAGGAAGTATTTAGCTAAAGGCTATTAATACTATTCAGTTCAGTTCAGTTCAGTTCAGTTCAGTCGTGTCCGACTCATTGTGACCCCATGAATCGCAGCACGCCAGGCCTCCCTGTCCATCACCAGCTCCTGGAGTTTACCCAAACTCATGTCCATCGAGTCGGTGATGCCATCCAGCCATCTCATCCTCTGTCGTCCCCTTCTCCTCCTGCCCCCAATCCCTCCCAGCATCAGGATCTTTTCCAATGAGTCAACTCTTCACATGAGGTGGCCAAAGTATTGGAGTTTCAAAGTAAGCAAACCAATTAAAAATAACTAAGAGAGTTTTAAGTCAAAGATAATGCTCTTAATTGAAAGGTTGTTCCTTGAGTGTACAAATTACATCCAATGGATTCCCCATTTTACTTCATTTTTATTTTTTTCTGCCTTACATAACTTTTACGTGTGTAATATCCGCCCATGATTAATAATAATTCACTAGTGAATTATTTTTCAATTATTATTCATCATTAGCAATTTAAGTAAGGTATGTTTTGGTTGAGTGTAACATCAGCTACAATAAATCTGATTCCACAGAAACCCCAATATCTTACACACAGAGTTAAAATATATATAAATATATATTGAATTGTTTGAAATTATAGACAATTGTAAAATTTGAGCTGTGCCTTTTTGTTGGTGAAATTTTTTCATGTACATTACGAGAGAAAAAAATTTTTTTTCTACATTATGCTAAGTGAAAGCATTCTCTTACTCAGCACATTTACAGTGATTTTAATTTCAAAGCACATGTTTCATCCTAAACTCTTTGAGGTTGGAAAAGAAAGAGAATGCCAAAGACTTTATTGGACAATAGATTCCCTTTGAATAATGTTACTGAAAGCTATTAAAATAGACACCTCTGTTGTCAAGGTGACTGTAATATTCAAATAGTTTACTTTTGGGGAGATGTTAATAGAGGGAAAAGATAAGCAGCAGCTAGTAAGCAGTCTGATTGTTTGTCAGTCAATGAAGGGACTTAGAATAGAAGTATTACACATATAAAAGGACAGAAATAGTCCCAGAGTTGGAAGTAGCCTAGATGTTGTATAATTGAACTATTATTCCGTAACATCTTCCCTAGTGATCTGTCAACTTATATTGGATCACGTTCCTCCTCCAGGAAGCCAGTTCTTTGGAAAAACCTAACAATTAGAAAACATTCCTATTTCACTATCTACCCCATGACCCCATTCTTAATCTGTCTTCCCCAAAACAGCCCTTCAAAAGTTTGATGACAGTCCCCATAATCCTTCTGGGCCTTCACTTCCATAGATTCAGCTTCTTTAGTTTCTTTTATTCATTCTTCTTTTATGTGGATAATATACTTTCACCATTCTGATCACTCTTTTGAATTGAAGAGTCTAATTACAGAGTCTGAATTAGTAGGAAGGTAATAGAGAACAGATAGAGGGCTCATCTAAAAATCTGTTGGCTTTAATGACATTTATTTCTTTTTAGGATAAAGTAGGAGTGACAGTTAAGTAGAGATCATAGGAAGAAGGAAGGAAGCTAGATCATTTCCTAGGAGGATACAACTATTAAAGCTCTCATCTAGCAGACAGGCACAGAAGGGTCAGGAAGGGTCAAACACTGCCAGGCTATTTTTAGCATGTGTGGCCTAAGGTTAAGTTGCCCATAGCTAAGAAAGCTTCCAGTACTACAAACATAAATGACTGAGGAATCAAGGAAATCGTTTGAAAAAACTTTTCCAATACTACCTGATTTCCTAAACATGAAGAAGAAAGTGGTGGGCAGTGTTAGAGCACTCTTCAATACTTACATCTTCCACAGTGTTTCTCAAATATGTATTTATGCCACCAGCATTTTATCTTCAGTAAAATAAAAGCTAAAGCCAGAAAGTGTCCTTCAAGGTCATGTACTCCAAAAGCCCCTCTTAAAGTTAGTGTTCACCTCCCTTTTAAGGGAGCTGCAGCAAAATGAGTCATCAATTCCCAATGGTAGCCATGCATCTCCTGCCCTGGAGAGGCTTATCAGCATGTGGGATGATCTATCGCCACCATCTGTGGGAAAAAACAACGGACTCTGGGTAACAGATGCCATAACTACAAGTTCCCCAGCCCTGAAAGGTTCCGAAGCTCAAGGAAGGCAGGGCACATGGGAGCTGATAGTTTTGATCACAGGGTCCCTGTGAGAGTCAAATTGCTGTCATTCTAGCAACTGTGTAACGACCAGATGACTGGCTGTATTGCTCAGAAGCCTAAATCTCAGAGAAGAGCTGGAAGCTGTTCCTGTGAATCATATTCTTCTGCTGTTGACCCCTTAACTATCTTACAGGCCTTCGAAGTCTTTCTTCTTAAAACTTGCATAGAGAGATATGTTAAAGCATTTGATGAATACAGATCTCATAAGTCAGTAATTATCCATTCTTCTGACAAGTAAACTTGCCAGGATGTACCTTTGCCAAAATAAGTTCTTTCCCCCTCCACTGTTACCTTTAGTTCAGTATTGTTAACACAATAAAAATGATGTCAGAACCCTCCAGTGGGTGTTGTGGATTCTTTGAGATATCATCACCTGTATCAGCTGAATTGTCCTTAATGCCAAGACAATACTACAATAAATAGTACAGCTAGGATTGAGCTAGGGTAGATTCTGGGCCAACCTTTTCTCTTTAAAAAAATCTAATTTCCACAAAAAACAGCTGAAAATTTACTAGGAAATCTGTCTTTTGCTTGAGAATATTCAGGGTTGTTGATTCCTACAGCCAGGGCAGGTACTGGGACAGTTAGGGTCATGTCACACGCTCTACAGAGAACTAGATCATAGAATAAAACAATGACCAATGGGCCACACTAGTGTATGACTGCCTTGCGCCATATTCCTCACTCTAGTCCCTGGCCTGAGAAGCTTGAGAGTTAAATCCTTGTCCCAAAAAGAACCAAAGCAAAGAGTGGATACATTTCCTACTGTGTTATCTCTTGTCTCCACCGTTGCCTATTGAATTGAATTCCGTATGTAAGTCTCTGAACCTTTTACCCAGATGCCTTTGCTTAGGTTCCTAATCACTGCTCCCCAATTTGACCATGCATCCAACACTGACTTTCAGCTTCCCTCCAAAACCCTAATCTTTTATTTGCCCATCATTTGTGTTTTCCATGTCTCTAACACAAGCAATTCTCCAGACAGATACCCAGCATCATTGTGCTCTGACTTTGGCCTAGCCACTCTTGTGCTCACCAGACTGTCCTAAGTTTCTTTTTCATTCTCTGAGTTCCTTGTCCACACTCTAATTCTGAATGACCTCACAGTGTGGACGTGTTTACTCTCTGGAATAAAGCAGTTTAATGTTTAAGGGTGTGGACTCTGGAGTAAGGCTTTCTGTGCAAAACCCACTCTGCATACTAGCTGTGCTATCTTGGATAAATCCCATACTCTCTGTGAGCCTCAAATTTCTCTTGTATAAAATGGGGAATAATGATAGAACTTTCCATATAGAGTAGCTATGAGGAATAAACTTAATATGTATCGATATGTGTCACAGTGTCTGACATATTTATCACCATGTTAGCAGCTATTACATGATTTTTCTACTCCAACTATGTGATAAGCTGGATAATTTAGGATGCAGCAATAACATGTCTCATTAAAAATTCCCTCATATCTAATTTATCTTTTGTTAAAATGGTCAGCTTTAGTGCTGGCGATTTTGCTCTGTTAATTCTGTATTTTTCCTTATAATAGACTTACTTTAGTTTGAATGTGCTATCCTACAGGAGATCTTCATTAATTTATTCATTCATTTAATGGCAATTGGTAAGAACCTACTATGTGCCTGGCACTCATAAAATTAAATGATCAGGAAATCAGAACCAATATAATTTGAAATGCCATCATCTGCTTTTTAAATTACTTTGATATTAAGCATTTCTAACGTAGAATTGTGCTTCTAGGGGATGTTTGGCTTTGAAACTGTTACCTAAAGGGAAAGTTCATTAACAGTCCTGTTTCGAATTGTTGTTTGGATAGCTTGATTACAATAATATGCCAATTCATTCATCATGAAATATTTGAAAAGTGGCAAAGTATCTGTCTCAGAGACTAGCACTAGTTAATAATCATAAACATCTAGTTTTCCTCTATTCCTCCTCAAACCCATTTTAACTCTTGGATGCAAAATCTCCCTCCCTTTCCCTCTCTCCCTCCCTCCGAAGAGTGTGTGTGTTAAATCACTTCAGTCCTGTCCCACTCTTTGTGACCCTATGGACTGTAGCCCACCAGGCTCCTCTGTCCATGGGATTTCTCAGGCAAGAATACAGGAGTGGGTTGCCATTTCCTCCTCCAGGGGATCTTCCTAACCCAGGGATCAAACCCACGTTTTCTGCATTGGCAGGCAGTGTCTTTACCACTGAGCCACCTGAGAAGCTCAAATTTTAGCTCCTCACTACAGGAAATACTTGTTTTTAGAAGGCGTGTGTGTGTTAACTGCTCAGTCAGTCATGGCCG